GCTTTACACAATTGATGTGTGTATGGATTGGGATAACAGTTGTGTGAGCCCCTAATAAAATGTTAAAAAAAAAAAAAAAAAGCCGAGGCATAGCTCCCGCCTCAAACAACACACAAGTCACCACAATACGGCAAACGGACAGACTGTGTTGCTGGACACTGGAGCATTACGAGCCAGAACGAGCTCAGTGGTACCCAACCACTGATGGGCTACGAGTCACCGGAGGGAAGCTTTCCCTGGGAAGAGCCTGCAAGTCAGAATGCAACCCTGGGCATATGGGTCACAACACAGCCAGACGGAAAACCTTCTTGCTTTCCAAACCAGCTGCCTTCTAAGGACAGAGAATCCTGACTCCGAAGGTCTGTCTGCATGCAGGCGGAATCTCAGGCTGGACAAGGCTGGGCACAGGCAGCACGGCCTGAAGCTACACACTTCTCTTTCTTTGATTTAAAATGAAAGTTCTCAGTCACTAGAATTTTTGTAAAATGGGAATGCCAGCTCACGAATCCGGAACACTTACCCTTCGAGCTGCTCCTCCCCTAAAATCTGGCGAAGATTTTTCAGAAAAGACAGGGAGACCAAGGCGTGGGAGTGGCGGATCTTCACATAGCCGGTCACGATCTCAATGAGACCCATGAAGTTCTCCAGCTCTGAGGCGATGTTATCTAAATTAAGACGGGCGGGACAGTGTTACTAAGAGATGGCTTTGCCCACAGGCGATACACTTCGGTTTTCTAAGTTATGATTACAGGGGCACACATAATAAAAGGATAGCTACTACAGTTCCTGTTCACACAAAACACCTCCACACGTGTCTCTGCACTCAGTGAACGGCTGAAGGAGGTTCTCTCAGTCAATCGGTCTTCATCTCGGTAGAGCACCTTCAACAGTGGCTTCTGAAGGGACCCGCTGGGCCACTTAATTTCAAGGCAAAGAGCTCAGCTCAGAAGCCTGTGGTAACTGTTTCTGGCTATTCCAGAGGGGTAATATGGTTAGATCATCTCAAAGACTACAGAAGGATCATAGGTGCTTATGAGGAAGTTTTAAGAAAATTGAAAACGGCACAGGTTAAAAAAAAGACCAAGAAAATGGAACTGCAGAATTTTTCTCCACCAGGACAACGCACCTACCTGCTCCTTGTTCAATAGTAGCAAGAGCTCTCGATGAGGATTTGTTGGGAAATCTTACCCGGGCTGTCCTACGCAGCTCTGAGCTTGCCCTCCAAACATCTTTCCCCTCCCCTGCCCGCTAAACTCAAAGAACATTACAAAGGAACACCACACGAGTCTCTTGAGGAGAGCCAAAGTGCTGTTTGAATGTGGTGGACATCAAAGAGTGCGGAATTCTTCAGGGAAGGGTTAAACCCATGAAAACACTGCCCTCAGACTCATATAGACCTAGATGGAGGGTATATCAAGAAACGATAGCTTCCCACTTTGATAGTTGTGCTCAATTAAGATTTACGATTTTGCAGCAATAATTTTGGACAGACGTACCCTCATACATGAAGCAAAACATTGACTACTTCAACAATCTTCATGTGCACAGTCCAGCATCATTAATTATGCCCATCATGTTGTTCACCCATTATCACCATATCCATTTCTGAATTTTTCTATCACAGATGCTCAGTATCCTCTGAGCAATGATACCTGCCCTCCTCCTTTCTCTCTTCCTCCACCCACCCCTGGTAACCACTGCGGTCACCAGAGACTTGCCTATCCTAGGGACTTATAGAAATGGGATCATATACGATGTGTTCTTTAGTGATGGACTTATTGTACTAAGCATAATGTCTTCGAGGTTCGTTTCTGAAAAACACCTACGGAGAATAATCAAGAGGCAGATCTTGTGTGGGCAGGGCAGACTCAGTAGCTCAGGACCTTGCCTTTCTAAAAGCACTTTTCCCTAGGCCTGGCCTTTCTTCCACAACCACCCCTAGATGAGGCCTTAGAGGTAGGGGGAGGCCAGTTTTTATGGAGATAGGTGCTGGAGCTTCCCAGGCTGATTAAGTGAGTAAAGAATGCTAAATACCAGGCTGCCAATTACTAAGGGCTGACAGATCCAGGGTACGTCTTTTAAAATGCTCTGTCAGGAGACAGCCCTGCCGTCACTGTGCAAGGGCATGCCGTCACTGTGCAAGGGCATGCCGTCACTGTGCAAGGGCATGACTAAATAAACATTTTCTCTATCTCATTACCAGCTGCCTTTGCCGCCCTTGAACCCCAGTTCCTAAGATACAGGAATCTATAGTCAAAGATCCCATCTCTCTACAACTTGAAGAAATCACACCAAAGTGTTAACAATGGAGATCTGTTCATGATCTGAGAAGTTCATTTCAAAAACAAAAAGAAATTCATTTCTGGGTGTCTATGTTTTCTCTGATGCAACTCTGCGATTTTCACAAGTAGGATGCAATAGAAAGAGCAGCTGTCAATACACAGGAAAAACAATTGGATCCACATCAACAGCTTACTGGGTTGATCTTGTTGGACCCACTTTTTTCTAATCGCCAATAAAAAATGTAAACCTCAGTTCAACTTACGCCAAAATGATAATACAAGCTGGCTGCTAAGAGCTGGTGGAAAAATTCCCTTATCTTTTCATTCCATTTTTCCACCAACTCCTTGAAGCCCCTTTTACTAGAATGAACTGGGTAAGATTCGATTCATGAGATTTTACTATGCACGATTCATAATGATTTAATTAATAAAAGGTTGTACCTGGCTTTGACTCTATAAAAATAGAAGAATAAGGATGTTTCCCTGGAGGCTCAGAGTTCCTGGTGGCACAAATGATTAAGGGGGAAATTGGCAACTTGGCGGCTCCACAGGTGTGGGGACCTGCTTCTGAAGGGACTCGGCCATGAGCACCCCATGGAGTTGGACTCTGCACTGGGGTCACCATACGTTAAAACTGACCGAACAGCAACTAACCACGGGGCCCAAAACTTAGTGTATTGTTTAGTGGACTCCCAAGAAAAATCGAGAAGTTCAATTAAAAAAAAAACAACATCATAAAACCCCGAAGACTGCTTGCAGCTGATATTTCTTTTTTTTTTTTTTTCCGCATTTCATTACTACTTTCCTTTTTTTTTTTTTTTTTAACATTTTATTAGGGGCTCATACATCCGTTATCCCAATCCATACACACATCAATTGTGTAAAGCGCATTTGTACATCGTTTCTCAAAGCAGCTGATATTTCAAGGAAAAAACTCTTCAATCTTAGGGCGGGATGCATATATTTTAGTCAAAGCTGGGGACATAATTTTCCATGAGATGTCCCACCATCCTAGATCGGACTGTTGTCCTGTGTTGTACACACAATGGAAGATCCATTTCACCATCATGCATGAACACACCCCAGTCCTTGCTCTGAGGATCAGATTGCTTATTTTGGTGAGAACATACAACACAAGGCAGTTGTCAATTGAACAATGACTACATGCATGCTTCAGTAACACTGATTACACGCTTCATCTGCCCAACCGTTATGATTAACCTGTTCCACATTACTCTGATACCATGAATTCAATGCCCCCCTGAGTAAAAATGATTGTGTACTTTGTCCCAATATCCCTCTCTGTGTTTTAAAAATTAGTGCCAGGGGTTAATCAATGACAACACTAATGGAAGATCTTTCTGCTTCAGGGAGATGATTGATATACAATTCCTCTTTACCCTCCCTTCTGCTCCTTGGTAACCATTAATAATCTTTGGTTTCTATACATGGGGTCTCAAAAAGTTCATGGACAAAGTCCATTGTCTTTTAATGCCACTTTTCCATGCACTTTTTGAAGCATCTTGTATATTTGGTTATTTCATTTACATGAAATTGTGCAGTAAAGTCATGTAACAAAAACTACACAGAAATTTCACATGCACACACACACACACACACACACACACACACAAAGGTCTCTTGAAAAAAACGATAAAAGGGATTTCTTCACAAAAGGGATTATTTAAAAATTCCTTTCAACTTCAAGGTCTTCTTACTAATTCTAACTTGTGAAATTATTAGTGCTAGGTGGGGCCAGAGATGGAGGTTTTAAGTCAACAACATTCAAAACCTGGTCCACTAAAGGGCAGGAGGGAAAACTTCACAGAATAAGAAGTCGGTGGGAAATGATTTGCACAAGTGGAATTCAGTCACAACTCCCCAGGACGGCATCCCTTGTATCTGCGATGGTGGTGCTCCAGGGGTGGGAGTGAATGCTTATCGTCCAGATGTACTTGTTTCTGTTCAGCTCTCAGAACTCTGGAAAAGAGTTCAACAGCTAGATTCTTGTAGGTACCTACTCATCCAAATCAATCCAAGTAACCAAAACTTTCTGTGCTGAAAGATGTCTGGATTTGGCTCCAGGAGTCATCTGCTAAGTCACACGATGATCCATGGTCTCTTTGGGGACGTTCTCCCCTATGAGATGTGACAAAAATGAGAAGAGACGGCCATCGTGGTAGGAATAAGTGCTGTGCCAATGGCGGGGAAATGGCCTGCCTTTTGAGATGTCTGGGTTTTGGGGTGGTTTTTTGGGTCATTCAGGGAAACTCAGAGAAGTCTTGTGTACGGAGCGTATGCGCCAGGCTGTTTCCCATGCCCACATCTGAATGGTGACTCGGGAACAACACCGGAAGACCAAGAAACCCCGCCCCTCTCCTAGCGGAGAGGATACTCACTGCCTCGCCGGATGTTAATGAGCAGATTGCCCTTGAAGATGGTGCAACCTTGGAGCATCTGCGCAGACGTCACGGAGTCAATGGTCTTGGTCTTCTTTTCTTCTTCACAGACTTTGGGGCAAGGGCCTTCGCACGGAACGCAGAACATGCTGTGGAAGAGAAAGAGGCAAGCCAAAAAGCACAGAGAATTGAGTCTGCCTCCTTGCACTTGGAAAAATCCCAAGTTCTTGATTTTAGTTGCTGTTTGTACAGTACACACTGCAAAATGCAGGTTGTTTGCAATTGGCCATAAGGCATTCACAAGGAAGTGATGAACCAGTCAGGGCAGTATAGCACTAACAAAACATACAACTTTCCTCTAGTTCTTTAATGCTTCCTCCCTGCACACTATCATGACCCTAATTCTACCTTACAAATCTGGCTAGACCAGAGGATGTACACTGGTACAGATAAACACTTGCAGCACAGGGAATCCAGGACAGATAAACCCCTCGGGACCAATAATGAGAATAGCGATACCAGGAGGGTAGGGGGAAAGTGAGGGGAGCAAGGGGAACCCATCACAATGACCGACATATAGCCCCCTCTCAGGGGGACGAACAACAGAAACGTGGGTGAAAGGAGGCGTCAGACAGTGTAAGACATGAAAAAATAATAATTTATAAATTATCAAGGGTTCATGATGGGGGTGTGTGTGGAATGAGCTGATACCAAGGGCTCAAGTAGAAAGCAAATGTTTTGAAAATGTTGATGGCAACCTATGCACAAATGTGCTCGACACAACGGATGGTTGTATGGCTTGTGATAAGAGCCGTACAAGCCCCAATAAAATGATTAACAAAAAAAGATTTAGAGCCTCATGTTTTGGAAATGTTGATGGCAACATATGTGTAAGTGTGCTTAATATAATTGAATGCTGGATTGTGATAAGATTTGTAAGAGCCCTCCAATAAAATGATTAATAATATAAAAATTCTTCTCACACACCAAAGTCTTCACATGGTCTAGACAGAGCCCATCCCCAATCCCGCCCAACATAATGCACTCACATGGCGGTAAAAAGGAGAAGGTGCTTTCAAAGGTAATGCCGTTGCTTGGTTCTAGACAATTTCCACCTGCATTCCTGAGGCTGCAGACTGGGGAGCCAGCCTTGTGGAAGAAAGGAAACCCTGGCGGTGGGGGGCGGCCAGGAGAGGAGGGCTATTTTCTGATGGGGCGGCCTGTGTGGGCAGCCCTGCGAGAGTCCACCGGGACGGCAGTGCCTCTTCCACTAACAGGAGCCCCACTCTTCTCAGTGCCTGGGGGCGCTCAGGGATGGGCTTCAAAACCACATCTGCTGTAGCACAGAATCGTTATTTTGTAGCTACAGCACAACCGAAATTATTTCTTTAGAGTGTTTTTCAGGAAGTTGTAAAATGATTCCAATGTTGTTTCCCTGCATGTACTGTAGAAGCAAGCACTTTCCGTTACTTTGTATTATGTTGCTGTTTCAAGTGCTAGCCCCGATATGCCAGAGGCACCAGGGACAGCTGAGCAGCATGTTAGTTAAGCACAGGAGAGGGACTAGTACTTTTCCGGTTCCCCTACTGTCGTTTAGGAAATAGAGCGCAAAATGCTAACTTCCTCAGAGCTGCTGAACCCGTGGGCTCTGTAGTTGACAAAAACCAAAGATCGGGAAATGACACTGATTTTCAAACAAAATAAATAATATAGCCGTACGGGGTGTGTGTGTAACATGGTGATGAGTTAGAAGTCATTTAACGTACATCATTGTTCTTAAATGATCTTTTAAAGTCCACGCAGATAAGTTGAAAACATTAAGGAAAGTGGCATCAGTTTCAGCTTTTTTATTAGAGTGTTTCTCTCTGTAAGTCGCGGGGTTTTGTTGTGCTTAATTTGACAAAATCCCCTGATGTTTTCTATTGCAAGTTGGGAGAATGGGAAACAAGGTTTCTAAAGGGTCCAGCAAGAACCTAGCCAAGAACTAGACTGCTCCATCTTTGGACCTCATACTCAGCAGCCTCACTGACAGGTAGGTAGGTAGGTAGGTAGGTAGGGTGTGTGTGTGTGTGTGTGTGTGTGTGTGTGTGTGTGTGTGTGTGTGTGTGTGTGTGACTCCTTCTGCAGTTTTTTGCCTTCTATTATTTCTAATTTAACTATAGATCATTATTATCCCATTACTTTCCCCCTTAAAAAGGCTTTTAAAATTTTGAAATAATTATAGACTCACATGACGTAGCAAAGAGAGTCCAAACAGGCCACAGGTACCCGTCACCGGTTTCCAGTGTGTGCATCCGGAAATGATGATGCGATCACCGAAACTAAGGGCCTGGTGTTGGTACACTGTGTGCGCGTGTGCATGGGTGTGCAGTTCTGATGATGTGGCGATGCAGATCAGTGTAACACCACCTCATGCCCCCCTTTCCGTGTCACACCCTCCCTCCTTGTCCCCGAACCTGGTGATCACTGGTTTGCTTCCAATCGCTATCATTTCACCCTCTCAAGAATGCTATGCAAACACAATGATACAGACTGTGCCCTTGGAGATGGGCACCTCCCCATGCTGCGTGTAGCAATAGCTTATTTATTGCTAAGTATCATAACATGGTGTGGATTCAGCAGATTCTCTATAAGCCTTACCTGGTTACAGAACATGTGGGCTGTTTCCAGCTTGGGGCTATTAAAAACAAGCTGGCATCAACAACCAGGTACGGGTTGTTGTGTGGACTTAGCCCGAAATAGTCACTTGCAGATAGATGGTGGCCGTGCACTTAGTGCAAACCCCTGAGGGTGAGGAGTAGGTTTATATTATATCTCCCCTACTAATTTTTAGTAGTACGTCATTTTAAAACCAAGCACCTTCATAAAGTGTCTAGGCAAAATAAGGCATCAAAAAATTGTTTTCCAAGCAGTGCTCTGATTACATGTTCACAAATTAAACTTCTTCAAATCCATTCTGGGACATAGCGTGCATACACAGTATAAACAAATAAGTCCTTCGAATTAAGTGTCAAAGAGGCCGTAAATGTTGAGAGGGTAATTATTCCCTGATTGTGTTGTATGTAGAAGAGGAAAAGTTGATCTATAACTGAACAAACTCTAAGAATGAGCTGGAAGAAAACAGTCCAATTCTTTGAAGGCTCAGTTCTCTTGTGTGATAGAAGAAGCAGGAGTTAAATTGTGCAGCATTCCCACGCTGCCTGCTGCCCTGCTACCTGCTGGATGACCGAAGCCCTCCAGGGTCACAGGAAATGGACCCACAGGACCCGGACGCCATCACATTTCATGGTACAGCTACCCTGTCCCTTGCCCACTCCCAGGGGGATGTGATGTCTGAATGTGTGGTTCCAGACACTGGCCACGGAGTCCAAAGTATATGCCGGCCTACTTTCCCACTTCAAGGCCACAAGAGAACATGAATACAATGTGGTATATTTTGGGGGGCAGAATACAGGGTTCCTATGAGTCAGCACTGACTCAATGGCGGTGTGGCAGCGGATATGTTTTCACGCAGACGTGATGGCTCGCTGGAGCCCTCGGCTCACTTGCCATTTTACGGGATTTAATTATTTCACCCTCCCAATTGCTATGGACATTTTAACCAGCAGAAAGGTGCTGTAGATCAGTTGCTGCCAGTTAGACCCCACCTCACGGCGACCTTGGTGCAGGGGACGGCTCTCCCGGGTTCTCAAGCGGTCACTTCAGCAACACGTCCCAGGCCTGCCGTCCGCATATACAGCCTTTTGGGACCCCCTGGGGTCTCCCGCTGGTGCAGTGGGGGCCGTGGAAAAGAGAAGGGCGCCCCAGTGGGGTGGACTGGCGCAGCGACTGCAACCAGTTGTGAGGCCGGTGCAGGACTGGGAAGTGTTTCATTCGGTTGCCATTAGGGTCCCTCGGAGTAGGAACAACACAAGGACAGGAACAAGCCTCCTGCTGCGATCTCCCACGAGGAAGCCGTGGAAGGTTTGCCTTTGCTGACGGGAAAGCCAGCCTGCGCTACAGCAACAGCTCCGATGTTCCGCCAGAAACAGACCCCCGTTTTAAGACTGCAAGACGCAGGTCAGGCGCATTATTTCATTCCAAATCCTCTGTACCGTCCCAACCCCACTGGCAGAAGAGTTTTACTTTGAAGACCAGGGCAGGTAAGGAACCCACGATACAAGTCAGGAAGGAGGCTGACTCCGCCTTTCCTAGACCTCTCAGCGCTGCCTGAGAAGTAGCGACAGCACCAAGCTCGGACCTGCTTTTGCACCCAGAGTCCTTACTGTGCTTGTCCACCTACGACAACTGGTGGCGACCCATGGTGGCAGAGCTGCGCTGCACCCCATGCGGTTTTTCCCAGTGGCTGACTTTAATAAGCAGAGAGCCAGCCCCTTCTTCCCTGCCCGCCTCAGGCCGAACCCCCCACTGGAAGGAAACCTTTGAGCATCGGGAAAACGCACGCGCTTCTAAGCGGTGGCTGTGCGTGAGGGGCACGGGCGGGGACTCGAACCTCAGCACGGAAGGGGGTAATTCGACCAGAGAACCACCAGTTGTGGCAAACCTCTGCAAAGGGCTCCCATCGAGGGCCTCCTGCTGGTCCCGCCCAGGAGGACACGGGCACCCGGGCGACTCACCTCAGGGTGCCGTTGCGGATGAACCCCGAAGGGCACTCCTGCATGCACTCGCCATTGTGAATCACGAAGCCCTCGAACTCAGTGCTCTCGGCGTTGAGAATGTTGGCGCAGAAGTCTCGGTCCACGCAGCGCCAGCCCTCAAACTTGTAGGTGTTGGGAGGGCAGGTGGTGACGCAGGTCCCTAAGAAGTAGTAGTGGCGGCAGGCCACGCAGGCGGTGGCGTTGTCGGGGGCAGTGCAGCTGCCCAAGCACTCCTCATGGCAGCACTCCCCGGCCTGGGAGCACGCTCGCTTTCCACACACACTCGGGCACACTGCGGAGAGAGGGCACAGGGGAGACCGGTCAGTCAGCTCGGGAGGCTGCCCGGCATGCGCCGGGCCATCACCAGCATCCCCCCACCGTGGAGCCCCCACAGGACCGCCCCGGGCCCCTCATTCCTCCTCAGACTGGATGCTGCCAGCACCACAGACCACCTTTCGTGCTCACCAGGCGGCCCGGAGAACTCAGGGCTTGAAGTCAGGAGTCCAGGTTTAAATTCCAGGCTCCCCTTTCCCTTTCTTTGCTCGGGGACAAGTCGTTTGCTTTTTGGCTATAGTCTTTCTCTGCTCATCTGTGAAATGGGTGTGGCCGTACTCACACTGGAAGGCGGTCTGAGGACTATGTGATCATGTGGACGTGCTATACATGAAAGCAATGGCTTATCATTACTTTGCAAAGAACACGATGCATCTCAAAAATGATGCTTGCTAAAATCTCTTCGTAAGCTGTGGGCAGCAATACTAGTTTATTTCTGTAGCAAAGAAGATACCATCCTGGGGCCGACTGAATAGTTCACAGCAATTTTGTGTGTGGTTGTAGTACATATCAAAGTTTTGGCCACAATGAGTATCAACTTCTTTACAAATCCTAATACAGTCAGTCATGAGAGGGTAAACATACCAGGTGGCGATTCTCTTAGTACAGTGGGGGTGCAGGATCGGATGAGCCAGGAGAGCCAGAGGACTTTGAAACCACCTACCCTACGCCCCTCCTCCAAGCTCCCGAGAGGAGAAGGCAGTCTCTGCTGGCCACGGAGCACAACTCCTCTCCCAGGAGATGAGCTGGCATTTATTGTTATTGCAAGGCTGTAATGGGTACACCGGCTTTCCTCACAGATACGGTATAAATGAGATCCGGCTTGCATTACATGTTTCCGACTCTTTCTTTGATTTGGAAAGCAACACAGACTCATTTAAATAGGGATATTTTGACTCTGACATGTGTTGACTTAGTGAACACTATTAGTGTCTTCTTCAACAGGCAGTCTTCAAAACAGTCAGGTCACAGATCAGAAGAGAAGACATGAGGAACACGCTGACCACCTGCTCACCAATGGCCTGTCAATACCATCATGTGGCCCTCCAAGCCCGTGCTATGTGCGTGTATGGACATGTCAATGTTCGCGCCTCTGAGGAGGATCCAGTCACTCTGGAAGACTGCTTCTTGCACAGAATATATTGTAAGGCCCGTTTCCACTTCACAGCTGCATACGGCCAAGTGTCTAGGGTGCCCCAAGTTGCAGCCAGGTTTCCAGTGTTGGCCCTGTCTCCCAGCCTCCACTTTATTACAATCAGGTCTGGCCTCTTCAGCAGCACCCTTAATTATTTGGTCAAGATTCATTTCTCCAGCTGGCCTTGCTGGATCAAGCCATCCTCTGGGACATTCTAACGAATTGACATTCTACCAGCTGGGTCTGGGACTCCCTGTCTCACTACGGCTAATAGCGCTCACTGCTATCCACTCAATACTGGCTCATAGCAACCCTAAGACGACAGGGAGTTTCTGAGACTGTAACTCTTTTTAAAAAAAAAAAATCATTTTATTGGGGGATCGTACAATTCTCATCACAATCCATCCACCCATCCATTGTGTCAAGCACATATGTACACTTGTTGCCATCATCATTCTCAAAACACTTGCCTTCCACCTGACCCCTTAATATCGGCTGCTCATTTTCCCCCTCCCTCCTCCTCCCTCCCTCATGAACCAAATTCACAAATTATTATTATTTTGTCAGATGTTACACAGTCTGAAGACTCCCCCGCCCTTTCTCTGCTGTCCATCCCCCAGGGAGGAGGCTATACATAGATTCTTATAGTCGGTTCTCCTTTTCCACCCCACATTCCCCCCACCCTCCAGGCATCGCCACTCTCACCACTGGTCCTGAAAGAGTCATCTGTCCTGGATTCCCTGTGTTTTCAGTTGCTATCTGTACCAATGTACATCCTCTGCTCTAGCCAGATTTGTAAGGTAGAACTGGGATCATGATAGTGGGGGAAGGGGGGAGGAAGCATTTAAAAACTAGAGGAAAGTTATATGTTTCATCGTTGCTACCCTGCACCCTGACTGGCTCATCTCCTCCCCACGACCCTTCAGTAAAGAAGTATCCAGTTGCCTACCGATGGGCTTTGAGTCTCCACTCTGCACTCACCCACATTTACAATGAGATGATTTTTTTGTTCTCTGATGCTTGATACATGATCCCTTCGACAGCTCGTGGTCACACAGACTGGTGTGCTTCTTCCATGTGGGCTTTGTTGCTTCTCAGCTAGATGGCCGCTTGTTTATCTTCAAGCCTTTAAGACTCCAGATGCTATATCTTTTGATAGCCGGGCACCATCAGCTTTCTTCACCACATTTGCTTATGCACACGTTTCTCTTCAGTGATCGTATCAGGAAGGTGGGCACCCACTGATGGTGCCCGGCTATCAAAAGATATAGCGTCTTAAAGGCATGGACATAAACAAGCGGCCATCTAGCTGAGAAGCATCAAAGCCCACGTGGAAAAAGCACACCAGCCTGTCTGACCACGAGGTGTAGAAGGGACCAGTTAACAGACATCAAAGAACTTAAAATCATATCAGAGACTGTAACTCTTTACAGGAGTAAACAGCCCTGTCTTTCTCTAGCTTTACTAAGAGAGGTAAGTTTAAAACAAGATAGCAGAAGTTGGGCATTCAGATTCCTGGTGCCACCTTTGAAGAGAAGAGACTTATTCTCATGATAATGTCAGCTTGACACAGCTCCCTAACTTCCTCCTTTGGGATCATCTGACTGAGACCATAGATTGTCTTGCATGATTTCTTCTCTTTCAGTCACAGAACCTTGATTTTTAGTTGGGAATTTTTTGGTGCCATCTGGCTAGATGTCCCATCTCCTAGTCTCCCTGGTAATTGGAAGTAGCCATGTGACTGAAGTTCTGGCCAAGATAGAAGCCAAGTGGGGTGGTGTGAACCTTCCTGCAAGACTCCTGAACACGGAGAGGCCACCCCCTTCCTCCAACTTGCTGGCTGGACTGTAGGAGGACTGTGTGAGGCTGACGCCCATCCCAGAGCACGAGGAGCCACAGCAAGAACGGTAAGGCGAGACAAAAGGAGCGTGGGTCCCTCTGAGGATAACTCTGGGCACTTATTTCCTGGCTTGTTTGAGCAAGCATAAAAGACACGTCTCTTCTTTATACGACAGTTGCTTGCCATATGCTATTGAACTAATCCCAAGTGAGGACACACCTTCAGAGGCATGTCGTAGTCAAGAAGCAAACCACTCCCTTTGGCTTATATCACATCCTTGGTCTATTCGCTCATTTTGTTCACTGGAAATGACTTTCAGTGACTTATAGACATTTCCCAAGACTAATCTACTCATCAACAAAAGAGCCGTTGCAAAAAAATCTTAAAAAACAAAGATGTCACTTTGATGACCCAAGTCATACTCTTTCCAGTTGCCTTCAATGACGAAAGCTGGACAGGAAACCAGGAGGAGGGCAGAAAGGGCACCTCTGAATGATGGTGTTGGTAAAAGCGTTGAGTGACCATGGACTGTGACCCGGAGAATGAGCACTTCTGTCTTGTAGGAAGTCTAGTCAGAAAGGTCCTGAGAAGAAACTTCGTCTCTTCTGCTGTTGACACGGTATCAGGAGAGACCAATCAGTGAGAGGGTCAGTGGGAAGGAGGAAGACTCCAAACGAGAAGGACCGACCTGGTGACTGCGCATCAGGCTCAAACATAACAGCCGTCCAGACGCTGCAGGACTGGGCAGTGCTTCATCCTGCTATAGACGACGCGGTTGTGCCGAGTCTGAGCTGACGCCACAACAAAGAACGCCCGATCGTTCTCCAAAGAAGCTGTAGGTGCTGTGGGCATGTTGGGTTACACATACGCCCACCAGGCGATTCTCTTAATGTAGGACCACAAACTCCGAAGCATCTTTAAAAGATAGGAAACTGCCTCTAGGCACTTCCTTGAAATCAGGTAGACCCAAATGGAAAGCGCTGGGCATTTTAACAAGTGGAAGAGAAGGGAACATGAAGTATCTGCTCATCGGAAGGTCAGCAGTTCGAAATCCCCGCTTCTCCCACTGCAGGAAGACGGGAGGCTTTCTACTCCCATGAAGACATAGTCAGGGAAACTCACGGGGAGTTCTACCTGCCCCGAGAGAGGTGCCAGGAGTCGGCCTTGATGGGATGGCGCTGCGTTTTGTTCTGTTGTTTCCCCTTCAGGTAACAGCGTTTCTGGGCAGTAATCCATTCACACCCTCATGACTCAACACCAACGCACTGCCATCCACTCAACTCTGGCTCACGGTGACCCTACAGAACAGAGGAGAACCACCGCGCTAACTATTCATGAAGGAGAGAGCCTCACCTTTCTCCCTTGGAGTTGCTAGTGGTTTTAAACGACTACCCTTTCCATTGGCAGCCTGACCCACTAGGCTATCAGGGCTCGGATCCTCATAGGGGTGTTTAAACAGTCGTGCACTGGCCAGTCCGTTCTTGCCCCAGCCAGCGACTTCAGAAAGCTGGTCAGGAAAGCTTAAGCTATGTGACTTGTCGCTGTGGAAAGAGTTGGTTGCCAACTCATGGTGGCCTTGCACAGCAAAATGGAATGCTGCCTGATGGTGCACCATCTCCTTGTGCGGGCACAGGTTGGACAGCTGTGACCCAGACTCTTCATGGGCGGCTTTTCAGGATTCGATGGCCACGCTCACACACCACCCCCTTCCCCAGTATCTCTTAGCTGAAAACTGTGCTGAAACCTGGTCCGAATGAAAACAAAAGGGTCCACTAACAGCTGGCTGGTGACTGCACACTAGCTGCACCGGAGGGATACTGAAGCTGGGTCGCCTGCCTGGCAACGCGGCTCCTGTCACTGAGCCAGCCCGGCCCTCCAAACTCTGAGCAGGCAATATTTTCTTTGTAGACAGTACAACTCCTCTTAAAGGGGATTCAGACAGAGGAAGCCCTGATGCAAAATCACAGAAACTGTGCAAGGACAC